AAAATAAAATAAAATATAGAATAAAAAAATAAAACAAAACAAAATAAAATAAAATAAAAAATAAAGTGCTGGCCAGTTAGCTCAATTAGAGCATTGCCTTGTAACACCAAGGTCAAGGTTTAAGATCCCCATACAGGCCAGCTACACACACACACAAAAAAAGAATTATTTTTAATAATATGATAAAATGCTTATGAAATAATGCAAGTATTAAAAACAATATATGAGCATTAACCAAATAATGAATGAATGAATAAACTGTGTTTAAAAGGCATGAAAAAAAGACTGGAAGAAAGTATGTCAAGGTATTAACAGTAGGTATGGTTCGATGGTGGGATTATAGATGACTTCTGTTTTAGTTTTTTCTGTAGTTTGCTATGCTTCACAAATGCTTCACACATGCTTCACAAATAACATAAATTACTTTTCTAATCATAATAAAAATTAAAAAATAAAAACTTTTATTGAGTGTCAACTAAGTGCCAGGTCTTGGGTAGCGAAGATAATGAAAATGAAGAATACAAAATTCTTGCCCTCGGTGAGCTCAATCTAGTCAGATTACAAACTCCAGCCAGATGTCCTCAGCAACTAGCCCAGTTCCCCAACCTGGGGCTCAGCTTTGTGGAAGCTGAGACCCAGGTCAAAGTCATTTTCTCCTATCCAGAGCTGGGCAGACTTACACCTTTCCTCTCATTCTGCTTGAGCAGCAGTCACCTCTACCCTGATTTAGACCAAGCCGAGGTTACTTTGCTAAGGCAAATTACCTTATCACCAAGGTTACATTTAACAGACTGCTGCATGGGTCATAAAAAATTATGAGGATTTGAACTATGACCTAAGTGCCTCTGTCTGAGTTGGCACAGAAAAGTCTAAAACCCGATTTTGAGAACCTTGAGATGATCTTTCTCCAGCACTACAAATTTAATCCTTCTTGTCAAATACTCCCATTCTGACTCCCCACTGTGCTCCCCACCCCTGGGCAGCCCACCAGCTCACCCTCCCATGGTTGCCTTCCCCATTACTGTGTTCTCTGAAACTCCCATTCCACTGTGGACAAACAACTCTCCTCTTTCAAGTATATTCCTGGTTGCTCTCTCCATCTTGGCAGAGACCTGGCTTGCCCTGATCACTCCACTTTCCTCGTGGCCCTATCTCTCAAGTGGAGGCTGCTCATTTTCCACTTCCCATTAACTTGAGAGCCAGGCAAGGTCTCAGCATTTTCCTCGATCGCCACTGCCACAAATCCTTTACTTTCACGTATGCGAAATGCCTCCTTTAGTTTGTGCTGTGCCCTTCTAGTTGTTACCAACAATCTGCCTGGATGCTTATCAACATCCTGTGAGCGCTCTGGAACCCAGCACAAGGTGTTGGTAACTTCTGTGGTCAGGAGGATTAGTAAATTCTACACCTCAGCCTCACAGTACTTGACTTTTACCTTCACTCATCAGTCACAACAGCTCCACCTAACTCTCGGACCTGTTGTTTTCCTCCCAACCTTTCAGCTCTGACATGACGTCCATTTCTTTCCCTTCTAGTTTTTTTGTTTGTTTGGTTGATTAGTTGGTTTTTTGCAGCTAGCTGGTAAGGGGATCTGAACCCCTGACCTTTGTGTTATCAGCACCACACTCTAACCAAGTGAGCTAACTGGCCAGCTCCCTTCCAGTTTACACCTCATGATCCCATCAGTTCACTCACACTCTTGACACTACCCTGGTCCTTATGTTTACTCATCTTGCAAAATCTAAGCCCAAGATATGTCAAACAATTTTACTCTTTACTGTCAATCCAAGCTGCTCAATTAAGATACAGGAGAGAAGGGGGATTGTTTATGGGTTGAAGGAAATCATGGGTTGGAAGAGTGACAAGTGGGTTGAGGGTCCAACTGTGATTAGAAATGTAAATTTGTAGAAACACCAATTCACGTGGTTGTTTGTCCCAGGGTAGGAGTGAAGCGCACAGATAGTTGGATTTGGGGCTTTGTAGTGTAGGTGAACAGAATGACAAGACAATGAAGGAACTGAGATTGACTGAAGCAAAGGACCATAGTATCTAGATTGAAGAGGAAAGGGAGTAAAAGCATGACAACTTCTGTTGGGCCTAGTATGCTGTGTCCATCTCCCTTCTTTTTCTTTATTTGGGGTATGTGAGAACCTGGCACAGTGTTAAGATCTGGAGTGTTCAGAAGAAGAGACTTCAGGTCAGCCTAACTAAGGTGGCAGGAATAGCACCATCTCTTTTGGACCATTCACCACTGCAGAGATGTGACTATGGTGACATGAAAACTAAGGAGGCTGTGGGCCCTTGGTAAGGGCCCAGAGCTAAATTTCATTTTTTAGAGTAATGACATGTAGCATTAATAATTAAGAGTGCAGGCTTGGAGGCAGATTGTACTATTCAGCGTTTTCCAGAGAAACAGCACCAATAAGATATACAGATGCTCCTCAACTCAC